TTTATGCTATGATTATATCTGATTGATTAGTAAACTACAAAATATTAAAAATTTTGATTGAAAAAAATAGGTGAAAAAATGTTTTTATGTTAGTAAACTAATGTCGACAAATCCCGACATCCGTGCTTATGGCACATTTTGATAGCTCTGTAAAGAAACGAAGATGTCATTGTTTTCCGTGATGTTGCACTTCCTGTGCTGCGATCTTTCACTTATTTACAGCCAGCTGACAATAACAGCTATGCATTTCTACAGCAAAATTAAACTCCTAATTATTATCAGGTAGATAATCACTCGTTAAAATGAATCTGCCTCAATTCCGACCAGTTTTAGTCTTAGTAATTGCATGAAATACACAAGACTTATGAGAAGCAAATCTACATACTTGAGATACAGTTGTGTTCAGCGCGCTTACTGTACTTTACATGAATACTATACTTGTACCCGTTTACCTCCGTTTAATACGTAAAGATAAGTACCTAAAGTACATACGTAGTTTACGATAGTACGTACTATTTACGTATGTACGTACTTTACGACAGTACGTAAAGTACTAAGTTTGAAGGAAACGTTATCAGACAAAGGTGCATTGATTTCATAATTTCAGGATTAGTTGTGTTCCTTTCCCCACAGCGTTGTGGCTCTCACGTCTGTTTCTTCTGTGAACTGTCAGTATGAATGTGCAGGTTAAAACATTCACATATTTTGTATAGCTATCTATTTTGACTCAAGACTCATTTTATTGGTAACTCATTACAGACCAAAACTGTTCTCTTTTGTTGGGCGTTTAAGGAAATGTATGAGATAAAATGATCCATAAGCTGGTCTTCGTTGCAGTTAAATCACTCATGTGCATAAGTAGATGGAATGATGCGCTTTTCAGATACAAATACAGATTCATAGAATTATAGTCATTGTCACAGACTCGTTAGTAAGGTGTCATCTTTTTCGTCGTCGTTGTTGTAGGTACGGAAATGCAGTTCTATATAATATTAATTGTCCTATTTGGTGTCAGCATTAATAGACTTTAGTTTGTCGCGTTTTGGTGAGCAATGTTTATGACATTTTTTCATGTGCGATATGCAATACTAATCCGAAGAAAGTCAACTGCTTCACAGTAGCAAAAACAATTTAATTCCGATGAAAAAGATATATATATCTTTACAGTTACATCATTTACAGTTAAATTTTACACTTTGACAAGCTGCATGTCGCATGTAATGTTTTAAAGTAACAATCTTTCACTTGTTTAGTTGTATTATTACTTCTTTATTCGAAATATCTAACCGAACCTTCCGTGACCCTCTACATTGATTTTAACGATCATTAAAACAATCCGTTCTGGTGTGGGATTTGATACACAGTGAATGATATAGGATGCACCAGGTAGCAATGACGAGGCCGAGTTAGAAGATTGGTCGGTTGACCCTGAAGCTGTCGAAGAACGGCAGAAGGAACTGGCTGCCGGAATGGCTTCACTAACGTTGAATACAGATTTGGAAAAATCTGTTGAAGAGCGCCTGGATATGTTTTACAATTTCATATTGGTATGGATATTGGAATAGTTTAGTTGCGCTTTTACAAAATTTATTAGGCTGAAAAGTCCGAAAGTAGCACATTAGATAGCAAAGTTCTCGTTGCTGAGGCCGAAAGATTGGATGTGAAAGATAAAGCCGTCCTGCTGCTGTGTAGAGTTTTATTCGACAAAAATATGCTACAGGAAATCAAGCCGAACCGAGTGTTGCTGTTGCGCTTTGTCTACCGTAATCACAAAGCGCAGCGCTATCTTCTTGGCGGAATCGAACAGCTGATATGTTCTAATAAGGAGGCGTTGCTTGACAAGGTTCCTCATTTACTAAAATGCTTTTACGACGAGGACATTTTGGAGGAAGAGGTGCTTCTGGAATGGGGCGCAAAGGTCAGAAATTTTTTCTTGACAGAAGCGAGTTTGAATAATTAACCACAACTTCTTATAGTCATCTAAGAAGTACGTGAGTAAAGATGATAACAAGTTGATTCGAAGCCGAGCTGAACCGTTCCTTACTTGGCTTAAGGAGGCTGAAGAAGAAAGTGAAAGCAGTGAGGATGATGTTGAAGTATGAGACAGTCGATCGATGCATGATTTACATTGTATATATATATTTTTTCTGTAGGTGGTGTACGACGATGGCCACAGACAGCCACACGCAACAGTTATTCCGCAGCAAAAGGCCGAAAGCGATGGCGAGAAAGATGACATCAATATCGACGACATATGAATTATCAATGTGTTTCAAGAGTTAGCTGTTTCCAGCTGCAGTCCTTTTCATTCAATAATATTTAGTCATCTTTTAATTTTACTTGAAAATGTAGCCTGTTTTATAACTTCGCTGTTTCATGGTTTGATGTTTCACTTTTTGTGTAGCAAGACCGTGGCACGTAAAACTTGCTGCTTTGTTTCTCTATTGCTTGCAGTAAAATACATATCAAACAATGACTTGCGTTTCGAATGCACGGTTGGCAATGCAACCGTATTTTTTGTTTACAGGCATTTCACTCCATTAATATAGTTCCGGTAGAATTTGATCAAGGTAACCACTATTCTGAGCAGGTTGATTCCTTTATCAGTCTTAGGTGAATACCGCTTACTGAATCGTAGAAACCTTGTCTGAAGAAAATGCCAAAATTTAGCTATTGATTTGATGCAGGTCTATCAGCGAAACAGTATGTATGACTGGTAATTTATATTTGACTTAATCCGAAAATCAGTGAAACTCGGACCATTTGAAAATCAAGGAAATAATAGTGAAAAATGTCAGGTGTGGACATTGCTAGAATGGTCTGAAAAATTCTTGACGTTGGGAATGAGTGACGGTTCTCAAATGATTATTTCATCTTTGTTCATGTAGTGCTCCTGATGATCGTCAGCTTTTAATTTGTAAAAGATTGCATTTACCTCCGTAATGCACCGGTCTTTTATCCTAATTGCCCACTTGTAAGGTAGATTTGATGTGACATTTTGGCGTAAAAATGGATTTCGTGATAGTGCTTTTCGGCACTTCTCGATTTTCTTTTTTAAATAGTACTGATCAAGCACGTATTTAATTGTTTCTTAAGAACACGAACTGAAAATTTTGCCCAGTTTAAGGCATGAATCGTGACTGTTAGTAGAGTTCTTCGTTTGTGGACTGATTTTTCCAAATTAGTGTATCTGCAATTATGTTAATCTCGTAATCAGCGATGCCTTGCGAACAGCTCCCTGCCTATTGCTTCGCCGTAAGAGCATTCTTCCCGGTCCTTGGGTTTGCGAAAGCTGGCCCATTGATAAGGTCATGTACTCGGATTATGTGCTGGTTTTTTTTCGAATACACGGGGTGTAAATCAGTTAAACTTTTTTAATTTTAGATTACCGAAGTTGATTGTTATCTTGATGGACTGGCGAGAGATGCAAGGGACGATCAGCTGGATTAACCGCGGTAGAAAGCGAAGAATGAAAGTAATGCATATTATTGGTGAACAGCATATGTACTAAAACAAGATTAAAGATTGATTTCAAAATTTTAACAATTCAGCAGTGCTCTGTCCAATAATTACCTTCAAAAGCAATATCATGCAGATGGAAAGGTTATGATTATATATGGTTTAAGACTAGAAAGACCTTGAACATGTGTACTACATCCAAGGACGGATGCTGCGTGTATCGTGTAAAGAAAGGAACGGATGTTGGAACTAGACACTGTTTCTGAGACAATATCACGTTTAAACCTCTTACGAGTGATTCATTTTGTCAGACCCAGACCTTGGATGGCTGTTCCCATGTTAGACGATGTGCCGTAACAATGGATACTCATGATCGTTTTTCTTTAGTTGATGGAGTGGTTGATTGTTGGCCTTCACGGGGCCATTTTTTGCCAGCGTTGTAGATTCTCAAGCGGTCGATCACAATTTTTACCTCCGGATAATCTTCACCGACCCATTTTATTGTCTGTGACAACTCCATTTCGTCTTTACATGTTTGTCATGAACCACGGACTCTTACCTTGCTGTGCCTTTTGATCAGTGGTCATCGCTCTTCGGTGGCGATCATCTCAGCGTTTGGTCAAGGCCTTATTTTTGTTGGTCTGGGCAAGACTGCTGAAGGGAGACATTTTAATTTGTCTGTCCTAGCGACTAAGTTTTGAACTTGAATTTTGAATCACTTATCTCAGTGACTGCTGAAACGTTAGTCGGTGTTAAGTTAGTTGCTATTTTCACAGAGTTAGGTGGCAAACTATGATCGATGGCTTGCTTGAAACGTTTGTGATACACGCTTTATGTTTAAGATATTGTTTAGATTTTGATTTGCAGTACGATTGCTTTAAATGACGAACAGACTACTTTAAATAATTTGACCAAATATGCTTGTCTTTAAGGACAGTGGGTTCACAGAAACGGAATGCCGTTTCATTTTGCAGTTAATCGGGAACCATGTCATTCTAAGAATCATTTGTACGTGAAGTCTTGCGGCTCTGAGTACATTGTTTTAAAACACAGATCTCTTAGTATTTGTACCAATGATTCTGCTTAACAAACAAATTTGAATCTACAACGTTTTTACCCAAAAATGAATTCAGTGAAGAAATTGATAAACCTGTCATTAGCGATAAAACTAAGTCAAAAAATATGCAACCGGATTGTAGTCATCCTCTTAATTCCTAAACTCCAACAGAATCAAGTAGTAATTAATTTAATTTAATCTACTACAAAATTTTGGTTCATAGGGATCGTAGACTTAACGGTGAAGAGGAAAAAGACGAACGTGGTTTATAAGATCGAGAGCAGTGGTTGTATACGGGATCTACGTTGTGAATCCATATGAAAATTAGACAGAAGAGTTGCGGTCATGTGCTCTGATGAATGGAATCAGAATATTCTAGCATCTTTTTCTCTGCGCCCTACTTGGCACACTCATACTACTTATATGTGGTCGACCGATTTCTAATTAGTCCACTAAATGTCATTTCCACAACCAGGAAATGGCAAACATTGCACTGTTAGTTAAAGAATCGTTACACACGTTCGGCAATAAAAGCCAGTATGTGTAACGATATATGGTCTCGTTTAGTTTGAGTGACAACTGGAATGTTATCGGCCAAGTTTTTCGAGAGAAAAAAAAAACTGAAATGGCAAATACTGTCACTGAGAATTTAACTTTGATTCACTCGTTTCATTTGTATATTATGACCCTGATGGTGACGGGGTATGGGTGTATGGGCTTCAATAAATAATGGATTATACATCATCGTTGAACCATGGACCGGGAACGGGAAGCAAACACCATTAATTATTAATCAGTTTTCACTA